GGATGACTACTGCAGATGTAATCGAAGTGAAGGATGGTGGTGTGCACTAAGCGGTTGCGGTTGCGGTGTTGGTGATGGATGCATCGATGTGAATGCGAATGTACGTACAGCAAATCGAGGCGCCGCGACCAGCATCCAGCAGCAGCTTCGAGTGGATGCATGCTGCATGTGGAGGTGTCTGCTACAGCACGCAGCAAGCAGTCAAGTGTACAGTCAGAAGCGTCAGTATAGCCGACCAGCAGAGAATCAAAAATCGTAATGAAATTAGATAGAAACACGTGCTAATCAAATGGCAGCGCTGTGCTCGTGACTCACGACTCAGCAGCAGACTCATGGCTGTATAGGCCGCCCGCCGCGCAGGGCTCACCACTCACACTCGCGGTTGCTCTCGCCGCGGCCTTGGCAGCCCTCGTCATGCAAGCCAGCGGCTACCCATGCAGTCGTGAGTCGTGAATTGAACGCTCAACCCTCCACTCGGGACCCTCAACCACTCATCCTTCATCGATGATGGTTCCTGGCGCTGCGGATCGCTGCATAGAAGGCTCGTAGAGTCACATCAACAGTCTCCCCCATCCCTGTCACCCACCATGGCGTCCGCAGCGTTATTGCTGCCAGCAATGACCTTGCTCTTGAGGCAAGAGCCCACAGCTACTCCCACTTTCCCTTTACCAGGACCAGGACCAGGACCAGAACCCGCACCTACAGACGCACCCTCGCCCTATCCCATCCCTTTACCTGGAGCAGAGATCGGAGACGAAGGATGCAGGCTGTTGGGGCCTTTCGCATTGGCTGTGCAAGCTGCCATGGGTGTCATTGTCGTCGGCTCGCTCGTATTCAAGAGGAGGAGGGAACGGCCGATGCGACCCTGGAAGATCTGGTGAGTGCACAGGCATCGGCGTGAATGCCCCCAAGAGTGGCGATGGTAGCGAGTGTTTCTGGGTGTATGCCGGTTCATTTCGACTGAGCGCGGCATCGAGCGTCAAGTGCGCTCTTGTTGGCAACGCTAACACTACCAGTTCCTCTTCTCGGCTCTCAAACCTCAGGATGTTGGACGTCACAAAGCAGATGCTTGGACAGGGCTTTGTTCACAGCCTGAACGTCTTCCTCAGCGATTGGACAAGTCACCATGGAACTGATAGGACCAATCCCTGCGCTCTCTACGTTCTCAACATCGGGGTGGATACCACACTCGGTGAGTTGGTGTTCCCATGTCAGCTCTTTGGCACTTTCAGCTTGTTAGTCGCTGATGGTCTCTGCGTTGCAGGCGTCGGCTTCATCTACCTGGCGATGCGCTTCTTGACCCACTTCTTGACAGACGTAGCTGGCATCGAAGGATGCGTAAGCGGAGTCTACTCAGCAGCACCCATCGTCACTGCCTTGCCACCCCCCTCACCATCCGGCTCCACGTCAGGTCGTCCACGTCTGCCGCGCAGCAGGACGCGGAGGCGATATAGACGAGGCGCAAGTCAACACGCTCAAAGACCTCGACTCTCATTTTGGGCTCGGCAACTGGCAATGTACCTCTTCGCCATGCTCCTCATGAAACTCGCCGTTCTCTTCCTCTTCTCCTTGCTACCCTTTTTGGTCGATCTCGCAGACGACATTTTGGCTCTGTTCGGAGGTCACAAGAGGGCAGAGCTGCTCTTCTCGTTGGCCATCTTCCCAATCATCATGAACGTCTTGCAATTCTGGCTCATAGACTCTCTTTTGAGGCACGATCCCGTCAAGAGCAAGTACGCTGCAGATCCAGACGGGCACGTAGGGGGCGCTTCAGAAGCCACAGGACACGAGGGAAGACCGAGCGAGGCCTCGGAGTATTTTGATGGCGATTCACTAGACATTGAACGGGGCGGAGGTCGGAATAGCAACAATTCTGGAGGAATGTATCGTCAAGCTCGCAATCAATCCGAAGCACATCTTGTGGGCGACGCTAGCGAAAGTGAAGACGACGAGCAGTCTAACGACAGGCGGCAGCGATCCAGCACGACGGACGCGCACGCATATCCACCTTCATTGAATGGTTCTGCAGCCGGCTCGCGAGCAGGCTCTCCCCGCAACGATCTCCGCGGTGCCAGCAAGAAGGGCGCACATTTAAGCTCCGTAGCACAAGA